GTTTTGACAGTTTTCGATTATGCAAAAAATAAAAAGTTAATTTTTCATGTTTAAATAAAGTGAAACTCATCGAAGATCTTCTGGATTTTTACTTCACATTCCATAGAAAATAAAAACACAACAGGTTTATACAGAACATAACATAACATAGAAAATAAGATAGAATAAGACATAACATAATATAATAAATAAGAATTTTGTGGCGTTTATACAGAAAATAACATAACATAAGAAATAATTTCTAACCAATCAGCTGGTACGTGTACTTAGGTAAACTCTACCGAAAACACTGTATTTGATCAAAAATAGTATATTTCCTAACTAATGCGGAAAGTGCCACTTTTCCGCTCGCGATTGCAGCTTACCGAACGACGCGTAGCGGAGTTCGGCAAGCAATCAAGTGCGGAAGAGAGACTTTCCGCACGAGTCAGTGCCGGCTTTACCTGATTTACCGCCGTGTGCAATTCCAGTCCCACCGCCTCAAGGTTCCTAATTTTTAAAGTTGAAAATACATACACAGAGTAGCAGTCCCTATGTGAAATTAGTGTAGAAAAATAATATACATATCATATCCTAATACCCCAACATTTTTTTAAAATTTTATGCCAAGGCCTGGTTTATTCACCTTCGAATAAGCTTGCTGGTAACTATCTGTAAGATAAATTTACCCTTCTATAATTCTATTGGTCGGCGGATAACTGGCAGACCAGTGAGATTACAGATTGCGTTTTCATCCGTTAGATCGCATACCTGACAGTTTATCAGAAGCTGAATAAGACGGCTCTAAAGAGTTTTATCAATTAATCTGATTTGAATTCGCTCTTACTTTCTTAAGACGCTGAGTCTTTTTCAAGATTTTATTAGGTTTTTCCCCTTTTTTTAAATTTTTGTCATTTCCAAAAGGCACCACCTTCCTTTTTACTCATTTTATCAGCTTGAACAGTTAGAAAATAAATATACCTAAATACTGTCACCGATGCCGGGTTCACTAAAACTCTCTTCACAAACAGTACCTACCTAACAACCTTTATTATTAAACTAATTGACTTTATAGAAAATTCACACATGCTCTATGTATTTAGTCGAAATTACACTTAGGATTTAGCTAGAAAACATCGAATCGAATATAATAGAATTCTAGAAAAAAGCACTCTGACCAACGTGAACAAGCGACGAATCTAATTTCTTGGAGTCCTGGCGCCGGCGCCGTGAAGTCAATGCATTATCGTAACACTGCCTCCCGTCTAAATCAGATCGTCCTGGATCTGACTACCAAGACGCACCACTAGCGTAGTCAATCTAGGCAGGTTTATGCAGGTGAGGTAGAAAAAATTAGTAACAAAGTGATCTCTGCGGAAATGAGTGGTCAATACGGTCCTAATTAATCCCTCAAAAATCGCACTTTGTCGCATTGGTGGAACTTGGAAAAAAATGGCCGCCATCTTGATTTTTTTCGAATTTATTGAATATTTCGTAAAGTATGCATTATATCAAAAAAACTCAAGAGAACTTTTTTGTGGAAAATAAAAAGTTCATTACTATTAGCTGGAAAACAAGAAAGTTATTGGAATAATTTATTTAAAAATCTGGAAATTTTTGAACTTTAGGTAAAATCGCGAAATGTATGCATTTTTCTAATAAAACAAAAATGCCTTTTTGTAGAGGATTAAATATGCCTATATTGAGATAAAAAAAAAACATCAGTAATTATCGAAAAGTTTGGTGTCAAAGGTTTAAAGCATGGTCTCAAGTTTCCAGTCTTTTTCTTCCACTGCTGGGAAGGTTTAGTGATTTTTTTATAAACCCTCAAGTAAAGAAATCAGTTTATTTGAATTATTTAGTGTCAATCCAGACAGTACACGGACATCTTAAAGACGTCCCTAAGATGTCCACAAACGACATGCAAGACGTCTGCTTATATCTTCAAGGCGGCTTAGGGATATCTTAAATACGTCGTATGTTACAAAACCCAACGTCTTTCAGATGTCTGCCTAAAGACGTCTTCAGGACTAATATTTTATTATTATTACTCATTTTATAACTTTCAATTTTTGTCTATTCCAAACGCTAGGGTCTTAAATTCTTCATTTCTTCAAACGAAAACATACGAAAAAAATTCATTTTGGAAGAAAATCAGTTGAAGAGACAGGACTGGAAATTAAAAAAAGAAATGAAGAGCCTGAACTTCTAAAATAAAGGAATAATGAGAATTCAAGAACTTGGAAAAAAAAAATTCAACAGCCAAAAGAAAATTAGGAATTTAGAAAAAGAAGTAAAGGAAAATCAAGAGCCTGGAATTGAAAAAATTATAAAAATTCAAGAATTTGAATTGAAAGAGGAAACATTTTCTTGTTAATATTTTCCTATTACTCATTCTATAACTTTCAATTTTTATGTATTTCAGGCGTTAGGCTCTCTGAAATAATTCTCAGGTTTGTCCAAAGTGTTCTAACTTGGCTTGAAGAGTTCTAGAGCATTCTAGAAGTTTTTCAGTAATTTCTAAATTGGGAAGTCTACTCCTTTGAAAGATCCATGTTAAATTTCAGAATGTTCTGACAGATTTTTAAGTATTTTAGAGCCCTATTGAAGTTCCAAAGTGAAGTTGAATTGGCTTAAAAGCATTCTAAAAGGTTTCCAGTTCTAAATTGAATCGTAATTGTTCTAAAATATCTCAGTTTTCAAATTGTTCCAAAATGCTCTATTCTAATAATGGTTCTGAAGTTCCCAAAATGTTTTGAAGCGCTACAGAATGCTTTTGGAAATTATGAATTGAATATTAAGTGTTTTAAACTTTCGAAAAGGCTTATTATTAAAGTTTTCTATAGCATTCTAAATGGTTACAAGTAACTTCTAAAATTGAATGAAAAATGAATTCTGTGGGAAATTTTCGTAGACATCTTAAAGACGTTCTTATTACGTCCACCAAACGACATTCAAAATGTCTTGCTTATATCTTTAAGGCGTCTTAAAGACATCTTGAAGACTCGTATGTTACAAAACCCAACTCCTTTCAGACGTCTGCCTATAAAGACGCCTTTAGAACTAAGGCATTCTAAAGACGTGTTCAACGGAATTTCTAAAAGAAGTCTTTGAATATCTTTTGAATACATGAACTATTATTCACTTTTACGCCTGGTTGTACGAAATAGTGTGGCTCAGTTGTCCTTAAAATGTGAATTTAGGACATCTTATTATGGAAGTTTTTAGATGTTTTTCTTTTTGGTCTTCAGACGTTCATATGTAATGCAGAATGCAGACCTACAAAAGACGTATTTAAAACTTTGTGTGCTGTCTGAGTTTGGATAGTTTCCTGCCCAAATGTTTTTTTTGTCATATGTGTTGTTGCTTCCTCTCAACAAAAATAGGTATTTAGATTTTCGAATTTATTGAATTTTTCTTTCATTAAATGCAGTTTTTCATTCTGCACAAAAAAAATTTACTTATTTGAGTTTTTTTCAGGTGTTTTGAAAAATTCCATGTTGCCAAATGAAATAAATGTCAATAACTTTTTCATTTTTCAGCTAATTCATCTGAGTTTTTTTGATATAATGCATAATTTACGAAATATTCAATAGATTCCAAAAAAATCAAGATGGCGGCCATTTTTTTCCAAGTTCCACCAATGCGACAAAGTGCGATTTTTGAGGGATTAATAAGGACCCTATTGACTACTCATTTCCGCAGAGATCACTTTGTTACTAATTTTTTCTACACCAACCACCTATTTTGACTAGCCTACACGTCCTCTTTCTTCGTCTATATCTTCACTCAGATCCATAATGACTCAATCTTTTCTCTTGCCTAATATGACTATGCCCGTCTAAGTGGACTGCGACCTGAACGCAGCTCATCCTTAAACCACTCGGCCATCCTGACTTCCCACATCTATCTTCATGTATGCGTGGCTCATCTTCCCTTGAATTGGCGTCATGGATAGTAGATAAATGGCTGATCTGATCATGTTCCCTCTGTTGACTGCTTCTGAAACTTTTCCGCATTTATGTTGATGCTTCCCGATAGGCCAAATTAACCAGACGGCGGATCTCGGTTTCAAATTCTTGTAAGTTTTCTGTTGTTTTTTGTTACCGCCTCTTATATTTTGCCGCCGGGTGCATTTAGCACCTCTGCACCCCCCTAAGGCCGGCGCTGGCACGAGTTAGAAACACTATTTTTTCTACGAGATAGAGAAGGAACGTACCTACGTAATGTAAATTTTAACACCAATATTTGATAACATTTCTTTTGCAATACTGTTATGTTATGTTATGTTATTTTCTGTATAAACGCCATAAGGGGTTTTCCATAAGGTCAACTTTTTATCTTATGTTATTTAATTTCTTATGTTATGTTGTGTGGCTGTATCAATCCACCTTAACATGTTTCAAATAAAAATTACTCTTGTTGGTTGCTTTACTGATGAGTTTTAACTAGCATTTCCTACATATAATTTGAAATGCCTCATCTATTTTCATTGTTGTTTTCTGTTGTTAAACAAGTAGGTATCCACTAACCCAAATTAACTTGAGCTTGATTACCTCAAGATAGTATTGGAATTACCATTTGAACACAATCAACAATGAAATGTGCACTTCGACAAATCCCGAATCGATTTATTTATGAGCTGCCAAGCCTAGTCTCCGAAAAGTACAATCTAATATCCAAAACTTTATCTCTGATCTCCAAACAAATTAGTTGTTGTCGTCAATTAAACTGGACAATCCATCTATGAGAATAATAGGGGATGGCAATTAAACCAAATCGGGTATCTGCATCTGTCGCGCACTGGGACGTAATTTCCTTCGACCCCCGATCATCCCCCGGTGCGTGTTTTCATTCCCTGATCCTAAATTGCTCGGGGTCGAACGGGTGACGACGACCTAATGAGGTGTGTACTGATTGAGACGGGTGCATCGATGTGGAAATGCGATTTAGATTGTCACAATATGGAGAGGAAATTTTAATTACCGATTTTTAAGTGAAATGAAAGAAAACAAGGAAATTTGTTTTAAACAGTAAAATATTTAATGAAATCGTATACGGTTTTGAAGCATACATACAAGTACAGTACATATTACATTTAATAAGTTTCGGCTAAAATCTACTATACACACGTTTTTGGGGGATACAAAAAAAAACTGTACAAGTTATAATAATTATTTATAAAAATATACAAAAATTCTTTGTGCTTTTCAATTTGCAGTTTTCTATTTCATAAAACGAAATTATAGAGGGCGGAAACATTATAGAGATCTGAGAGGATAATATATACTCAATTTTCTCTGTTGTAGGCTAGATATAATACCCAACTATGAAAAAACTTTTGCTCTGATATGTCCTTACACACTATCAATATCTTTTTGTTTTTAAATTGTGTTCTTACACATTGTATTATATACAGATTATAGGAAGGACCCAAAAAAATTAATATTTCCAATAGCCCTTATAGTGCAAACGTGTAATTCTTTTTTTGGATCATCCCTCACAAGAGATTATAAAGTTGGCAGCTATGCGGCTTTATAAGTACAGAAAAATGTATTGTGATTACATTTTTTTTTATAAAAACATACTTTTCTATTACTAAATATATTTCTATTATCACTGGACATACATTTTTTTTTTGGCATCCTCTTTTTCTAGGTATATTTAAATTTCTGATGGTCCCCCATACTGAAGAAATTTGGATGCCGTCAATTTGCAAATGTTGATTTCTAGTAGATCTTGTCTAGTCTAAATCAAAATTCGCCCCTCTCACAACAGAAAAATATACAACTTACAGTTTAATTACGTATATGCTCATCACTTGACATACTTTGAGAGTGTATGGAATTAACACTTATTAGACATTTTAAAAAAGTTGGATACATTTATCTTATTTTCAGTTCCTTTTTCTAAGTCCAAAAGCTACTAGTGCAACAATCTATTGTCAATAGACAATATTCATTCATTGTTGTTCTAGTACCTTTCATAACTCAAACCAGCTCGACATAAGAATCTTTTCTATTTACAATACAAATTACATCTATCCTAACATAGGCGACAAAATGTTTACAGGGCTTGGTACGTGACAACAAGATGTTTGTGATTAGAAGATTTTGTCACAAACCGAGACCTGCTTACAATCACATTTACTTCAACAACAACAAAAGAATTGAGTCGAATTAAAAATAAATCACAAAAAAAAAAGAAAGAACTGCCACATGAGTATGCAACTATTCATAATCGAGTTAACACACCTTGTCAATAAATAAATAAAAACAAAATAAGTCCTGTACAAAAACATCGACTGCACCAAAAAAATAAGTGTCCGCACGATGGCACTATTATGATCGACTAGAGAGCTGTGACGGTGCTGGACTTTCGTCCGTGCCTGATCACTCAAATGGGCCCGTAGTTGCTCAACGATTGCCCAGTGGATGGGGCATTGGTATGGTTGATAACTACTGGTGTGGACCCGTCGCCTACTTGTCATACGTGACTTAACGGTGGCTGTTTGAGTACGTGGTGGTGCAAATGGTGCTGACTAGCCGATGCTACGCTACCAGTAGGTCCTAGTAGCGATGCACTGCCTGGACCGGCTATTAAGTATTGAGGAGGCGGTGGTTTACCTGTACGGTTTTTAATTAAAACGGCATTAGCTCCAGATAAATCAGGTCGGCCGAATAATCTCTTCCACAATCGTCGCCAGGAGTCGAGAGTCTTTCCAGACCAAATCCAGACTCCGCTGGTGATTCCTACAGCTAAAGCCATAAAGTATTTGAGCATCAATACTGAATATAGGGGTTTGGCTTTGAGTGAGTTGAAACAAGCACAGGCTAGAGATTTCAACCATTCATTATGGAAAGCGTTTTCGTATAAATGGCAACCAATCACTATTGTTGCTGGTACTGTATATAAAACACTAAAAATTCCGATTCTGATCATGAGTTTTTCCAATTTGTCAGCTTTAGAGCCTGCTCCAGCACCGCCTTGCTTCTTGATAACATTCCTAATCCTGAATAAAGAGACAAATCCTGCCATCAAAAAACTCGTACCGAGGATTAGGTAGATGACCAAAGGTCCCAGCACGAAAGTTTGTAAGTTTTCAGTATTCATGTTGCCAACATAACAAATTCCTGATACAGGATCGCCATCCACAGCTCCACTTAGCAACACTCCTAAAGTTTGTAAAGTTGGAATAATCCAGGCAGCTACATGAAAACATTGAGCGTAGCTAGCAATAGCTTCATTGCCCCATTTAAGTCCAGCTGCCAAAAACCAAGTAAGCGACAGTATGACCCACCAAATTGACGAAGCCATACCGAAAAAGTAAACCAACAAAAACACCAGCGTACACAAACTAGGTCCAGTACTCGTATAACGAATTATAGCTCCTTCACAAGCCACTTGTTCATGTCCAACTCCAACTCGTATCAAATACCCTACCGATACCAAAAAGTAACAAGCCGATAGAAAAACAATTGGCCTTTCAGGGTATTTGAAGCGTTCGGTTTCGATGAAAAACGTGATAAGTGTCATCAGCGTAGAAGCGGCGCAAAGTCCCGACCATAGACTGATCCAGATCGACGCGAACTCCTTCTCCTCCGGACTGAAGAACGTTTCCTTGCACGGGAACGCACAATTTGGGACGCCGGCGACGTTTCGGTTGAACGGCGGCGGACTGATTTCGGTCCCCAGGGAGACTAGTGGTTGTTGGCAATGGCACCTGGAACAAAAATAAGTTATTTAGTAAAATAGATAAGCAACCAGTGATGATGTATACATTTAAGTTAAGAAGTTTTGGTTTTAAGATAATAATGGAATATCAATTATGGTAACAGTTTTTTTCCAGTTTTTGTAGAGGCAATATTGTTTTTTTTCCTGGCAGTTGTCGGCACTATACAATTAAAGTTTCACAGTTCTTTGGCTTTGTAGAGGAAAAATATTTTCTACCTGGCACTAATAAGACATGATCTAAAGTTTATTGTAGATGAGTCAGATGAGTGCTTTTTGGTTTAGGAGACCAATTGTCAATAATAATAGAAAATAATTCTCGTACTTGTCGAGGAGTTTATAACTGGAAACTTCAACAAGCAAGCATCTAAACCAAAGTGCCATCAGTAGATAAGAGATTCAGTTTTTGATTATGTGGAGTTCAAATTTTGACTATTATCGGCTCTTCATTGGCTCTAGAAAGGTTTTTCTAAAGAATCAAGAGCCAGTAGTGGTTCAAATTTTGATTATCTGTGGCTCTTGATCCATTGGATAATTTTTAGCTCTGGAATTCCTCATAATATACTGTCCATGGTCCTTTGGAAAGTGGCTGGGGCATTCTTCAGCCCAAATGGCGTAGAAATCTATCTCAGTATAGGCCGGTTTAAGATAATCGCATTTTCAGTTTTACGGCTCTTGATTGGCTCCAGGAAATTTTTCCAGGGAATCAAGAGCCGGTAATAGTTTAAATTTTGATTATCTGTGGCTCTTGATCCATTGAATAATTTTTCTTAAGCCAATTAGAAGCTGAGAAAGAAGAAATTTGGATTAATATCACTTGAGAGCTGCTAATGATTATTCGAAATTTTGATTAATATCGGCGCTTGAGCTTTGAATGCCCTTGGAAAAATTCTCTAGTGAATCCAAAGTTGATGAAAGTTCAAATTTTGACTTTCACCGGCTCTTGATTGGCCCCAGAAAAGTTTTCTAGAAAATCAAGAGCCGGTGATAGTTCAAATTTTGATTATCTGTGACTCTTAATCCATTGGATAATTTTTGGTGAGCCAATTAGAAGCTGAGAAAGAAAAAATTTGGATTAATATCACTTGAGAGCTGCTAATTATTATTCGAAATTTTGATTAATATCGGCGCTTGAGCTTTGAATGCCCTTGGAAAAATTCTCTAGCAAATCCAGAGTTGATGAAAGTTCAAATTTTGACTATTACCGGCTCTTGATTGGCTCCAGGACAGTTTTCCAGATAATCAAGAGCCGGTAATAGTTTGAATTTTGATTATCTGTAGCTCTTGATCCATTGGATAATTTTTCTTGAGCTAATTAGAAGCTGAGGAAGAAGAAATTTGGATTAATACCACTTAAGAGCTGCTAATGATCATTCGAAATTTTGATTATTATCGGCTCTTGAGCTTTGAATACCCTTAGAAAAATTCTCTAGTGAATCCAGAGTTGATAAAAGTTCAAATTTTGACTATTACCGGCTCTTGATTGGATCCAGGAAAATTTTCCAGAGAATCAAGAGCCGGTAAAAGTTCAAATTTTGATTATCTGTGGCTCTTAATTCATTGGATAATTTTTCTTGAGCCAATTAGAAGCTGCGGAAGAAGACATTTTGATTTATATCAACTCAAGAGCTGCTAATGATAATTCGAAATTTTGATTATTATCGGCTCTTGAGCTTAGAATGCCCTTGGAAATAGTATATTATATACCTAGGTAGAGAAGTTGGTCCTTATATACCGAGCGCTTTTATAAACCGAGGCGCTAGCGCCGAGGTTTATAATGAGTGAGGTATATAATGACTTTCTCTACCGAGGAATATATAGAATTTTTTTTACTACTGCTAGTAAAAAATGAAAAATTTGTTTAAAATCTGTGTTCCAATTATTTTTTTTTGAACGCCCTCTTGAAAGTGTTGCCCTCTATCAACAGCTTATGATAACTTCCTATGTACCTACAGAAACCTGTATTTTTTTTCAAATTGACCTATGAAAATGAAATTGAACCAATAGAAACATGACAATATCCTTGCGTCATGACGTCATTTTCATTATTAACCTAGGTATTTTTTCATTATTTTCATTATTCACCTAGGGAGAGAAATTCAATTTTTTCCTAGGAAAATATATTGAATAATGACAATTTCTCAGGTTAGTAGTAAAAAAAATTCTTTAGCGAATCCAGAGTTGATGAAAGTTCAAATTTTGACTTTCACCAGCTCTTGATTGGCTCCAGAAAAGTTTTCCAGGGAATCAAGAGCCGGTAATAGTTTAAATTTTGATTATCTGTGGCTCTTGATCCATTGGATAATTTTTCTTGAACCAATTAGAAGCTGAGGAAGAAGAAATGTGGATTAAGAGCGGCTAATGATCATTCAAAATTCTAATTATTTTCGGCTCTTGATAGGATCCAGGAAATTTTTCCAAAGAATCAAGAGCCAGTAATAGTTCAAATTTTGATTATGTATTGCTCCTTTATCGTTTCATTGGATAATTTTTTTGAAGCAACTAAATACCGAATATCCATATTGGATGCTGTGGTATGTCTGATAGACAAATAGAAAGATCATGCAGTCTATGCTGACTCATGGAATTTCTCAAGTAATTTTTTAATATTTTCAATTTACTTAATGACCTTTCAGCGATGGCAACTGGAAGCCGAGGAGAGTGTAACTGGAAAGTTTAACACGAAAATATGAATACCAAAGTGCCATCAGTTTTTGACTTTGTAGAGAAAAACGACTTTTTCCTTAGCACTGGTAGATATACACTGGTATGTACTTCCATCATCGGGATATAAGCCTGTGTCAGTCACCAGAAATTTTCAGAAGATATTATTCTATTGAGCGATAACATGGGTGACTCCAGAAGAAAGATGCTTCATAAGTTGGACAAAGCCTCAAAAATTGTTGGGCTTTAAATGAATGTAAGCAAAACCTAATATATGACCTGACCAACTTGATAATAAGCGAACATATATCAATAAACGATCATCACATAGAACAGGCCTGCTCTTATATAGGATCTAGGACAAGAATTCGTGGAAGAGATAACCAAACTTGCGAAATAACCTAACAAAAACAAAACATTTGGAAAACTCAATCATATCAATATCAAGTAGAGTATGCCAAATTGTCTGAAAAGAAAAGTGTTTAACCAGTTTGTCCTCAGCGTTCTCACTTATGGAGCAAAAACATTCAAATCTCCTGAAAAGATATGAGTGGCTCACAGAAAGATGGAGAGGACAATACTGGGCCTTTCATTAAAAGATCGAGTACCCAATAAGAGATTGCGCCAAATCTCTGGCACAAATTAGCAACATTGGCTGGTCATATGGCAAGATTGACCGACGGTCGATGAACAAGCAAAATTCTGGAGTGGAGACCACGTTAGGACGCCTTTAGAAATCGAAACCGTCCACTAACGAGGTGGACTGACGATCTGAAAAGGAACGAGAGCAACTGGATGAGCACAGGAACGGAGACAATGAAACACTCTAAGGAAAGCCTATGTTCAGCACTGGACGCAAAATTGATTGATGATAATGATGACTGGTAGATAGTGTAGATCACAATACTAAAGAGTAAAATTATTGAATATCAGTGAAAGGATAACAAGCGGAATTGTAGATCAAAGTACCACCAGGGACTCTGTAACGGATAGAGATCGTTATTCTTTTCGCTATAGCACTTACTGTCTTCTTCTCTCTTATCTAAATCAATCGAGAGGAGACGACAATAGAGAGAGAGAGAGATATTGATTGCTATTCATTACAAAGTCCCAGCCTAGGAACAAAATAATTTTTTTTTAACATCTTACCTGCACTCGTTGGGTGCGTTTCCTTTTGTTCTTCCGATGCCTCCTTGGGGATTTTCGCAGTTTTTTGAACCGGGTCTGCAAGGTTTAATTGGCTTAGTCTTCGTAGGTCTCGGAGTCGACGAGGTATTGTGCGTAGGCTGATCCATGCAAAGCACTTCTCCGCCTTGTTTGGGAAATTGGTCGCACTCCATGCGCTCGGGCCACTGGAACCCGTACTTGGTCATTATCGGTTCGCAGCCTTCTCGGGCTCTTCTACACAAATCTCTGCACGGTGGTAGAGGTTTAGAGTACTCCGATAAACATATGGGGGCGTACATTGAGCACAAGAAGAATTTCAAGTCCGGAGAGCATTTGATTTCTACTAGAGGCCAAAATTGGTGGACCTCCAAGCCGGCTTCTTCTTGAGATTCGTGATTGAGCTCGTTGGGCATTCTAGTCATGTTGTATTCAATACCCAGACACATTGGAATGGTGATTTCTTCACATTTACCATCTTGGTCTAGTGAAGAGGAAATCACTGAGCACGTTGTCGTTGAGACAAAAAGCATTATGCTTAGTGCTAAAAGATGAGCCATTTTTGTGTTCAAATGTAAGTCTTGTTTGAGGTAGCAGGTTGACACTAGTGATGATGTCTTTTAAAAACTTTCATTTTCTGAAGACATATTTTTCTTGTCAGGTGCATTGAAATCTGAAACAAACAAAAAAATTATTATAGGCAATATGTTGGAAGAAATAGAATGATTTGTGGCATTAGCTTATAAAAACCTTGACAGAGAAACATTAAATTTTACTTGATTGTAAATATTAAAAGTGACCGTTACACGAGAATCGATACCATTTGCGGTGTATATTACCACCGACGAGAGCCAGTCAAATGATAAATGCGGTCGAAGATTCTGCGAGATATTTTCTTAAGACTACCTACAGCTTTTTAGTGAGAAGAATCAATAAATTTCGAGTGGTACACGGGCACGAAACTACTTCGCGTTAACGAGCCTCGCAATGAATGAGCAAATCATACCAATGGGCCCACGACACGCAAATAATAGGGATCTCTTGTAAACTAACGATATTTATTCAAAATCAAATTTAATTTCACACAAAATTTCTTTGAAAGAAGTTCATTTCATTTCAAAAACGGCTTATGTGGGAGGGGAAACATCAAAGTTCACACAGTGTTTTTTTTTTTTTTTTTTCAAACACTATAAAGAGCCTCTAGGGAGAAAATGCGAAACAGTCCGTGAAAAGGATTCAGAGAACCCATTTTGCTCGTATGAATGCTTCATATTTTTCAATGCGGTTTTTTCAAATTATGATTTTGTTTAGGTGCGGAATAAATTACTTTGATGCCGATTCTAAAGGGGCGCGTTTACTTACAAAATTGTCGAGCACATTTAAAAGTTATTTTACGAGCAGGAAATTAGTTTCGTAGACGAAAAGTCACGTTGAAATTGGACGTAATGGCGTGCCTATTCGTCACATGGCTTCCCTTATGTACGTTTCGCCAGAAAGCAATAAGTTACCAAGGGGGTTAGAGAAATTGGAAATTCTTTATAAAAGAACCCAGACTTTGGTTATTTGTCAGAAGGAAATTGCGTTCGAAGTAATAAAAAAAAATTTAACAGGTATTTTACGAGAGGAGAATCTCGCTTAAGGAGTTGGTTCAGATTTTATTAGCCCCTCTGCGACCAATAATCATCATATCTGTAAATTTTACAACATTTAAATGCAGATGTAGAATCGTTCTTGGGATTTGAAGAACCAGTTCGGGCGAATGCAAATAAGCATAACTGCAACTAGATAGGGAGTTGATATATCTGATAACGTTAATAATTAAGGTTTTTAAAGTGCGAAATTTACTATGTATCTGGAAATCATGTACTGAATTATTTTGATATAGTAGGAGATTGATTCAAGTCTAATTACAGTCCCTATAGGAGGCCCTATATTTGGTTCTATATTCTTCAAGAGTACAATTTCCCGATTCCAAAACTATATAGTTTGTCTATATTCGGTTGAGTCGGCTCCAATATATTTGGTTCTAAAAATTTTAAAAATACTATCAGAGGAACCAAGTACAGTGGGAATCATTGTAATTGGCACACGCTATATAAATATCCCTCCATGTGTCAAATCTGACACACCAGTAATAGCAAAATGCTGCACTAAATAGATTTATTGGTTAGAATTTTGACTCAATACGAGGGATTTTAGAGAGTGTGTGCCAATTGCAATGATTCCCACTGTACCTACCTCAAATTTTACCTGCAGCTTTCACCTGTACAGGTAGAATGGTTCACAAAATCAGTAGTAGAATAGTATTTTTACAATTTTTGGAGACTGTTCAATCAAATATAGCAAACTATATATTTTTGGAATCAGGGCATTGTACTCTTCAAGAATATAGGTAGAATAAAATATGGGGCATTCCATTTGAAAAAAGCTGGAAGCATGCAAAATTTCACATTTCTGACATTCAAATTTTGTTTCTGACCATGGTTTCTAAAAATTCAGCCAAATCTGTATAATTTTTGTATTTACACCTTTTTTCTACCTGTGAAGGTAAAGGAGGTAGGTGGAGTGTCAATATATAAAAAAATACCCTGTACAAATAAGTGGATTATTGCGGAACTTATGGGTGAACCTCTGCGGGACGAACGCAGCGAGTTCCGCAGCCATCTACCCACCAATATACTGTTAAACTGTTCACGTAAGACATTCACCTGAAACATGTAGTTTTTAAACTAATGAGAATAACTCACATTTGAGTGAGTCAGGTTACGCCCGTATTCACCAAAATCAACTTAGCTATCTGATAGCTATCAGTCTGTTAACATTTATCAGTCGGATAATAGCAAGTGCTATTCACCAATAAAAATGGTCCTTCTGACAACAAACAGACTGATAAAAATAAAAATCCATATATTCTATGAACAGTTTTTCTCTTCATTTCATTTAACAACCTCAAAATTTGTCTGTATTATATTTATTTATTAATAATAACTTTTATTGGGCTGTGAAACAAGTAAACAACTTCCAAATCCTAATAATTTGTCTAATAATAAATAATTATCGTATACGAATACCAAATGGAAAAAGAAACGCAGCAGCTTTCTGGTCGCGAAAAGGAAATTCTAATTTCTTCGGTTGAGAAATATTAAATCGGGAATAAGAAAACCATAACCAATACAGTACAGTTGGTTGATTGTTGTGCAACATACACCACAATACAAAGCTGAAAAGACCCGGTTGCAATTAAAATCTGATTTTTTTTAGATTGGTTTATTTCTTTCGTCCGCAATGGCTCCAAGACTAGGTTCAGTGTTCAGAGGTTTATTTTCAGCCTTTGAAAGCTATTTTTGTTTATTCTGAATCTTTTATGAAACTCCAAATCATCCAATTCAGTGAATAAATCATTCTTGCCCTCACATTTCTGGGCCTGGGAAGATCTTCATCTGATATATGGATCATCCAATGAACCTCCAAATAAATTCATGTCAATTTCATCCATTCTGTTCATTTTGCCAAAAAATAAAAACTCATTAAGTAGGTACCTACCAAAAATTAAAATTTAGCGAACCATCCATTCTTTCCAATTTATGGATCATTCGATTTTTTTTTGAAAAAAAAAACAATTACAATAACACTTATCAGACAGTTAACTTCCTTAACAGCCCAAATTTCGCCTGACAACTTTATCAGACTGATATCTAATACTCAAGGTTGGTGAATACCGAATTTTACGTTAACAGTCTGACAAGCAGTTTATCAGACTGATAAGCAGTTAGCGGTCGTTGGTGAATACGGCTGTTAGTATCGTAATTAAATAACATAGTATTGATGAAAAGATGGCTGCGGCACTCGCTGCGCTCGTCCCGCAGAGGTCCACCCATAAGTTCCGCAACAATTCACTCATTTGTACTTAAATAACTTGTCACAATATATTACTAGTTTGGTAAAGTAACAATACTAATTCCTGTTGAAAGGCGAATTGACAAAAAGTGGATAATCTTACAAATTCTGACTTTATATAATAAGTTTTATTATTTAAGTACAAATAAGTGGATTGTTGCGGAACTTATGGGTGGATCTCTGCGGGACGAGCGCAGCGAGTTCCGCAGCCATCTACTCACCAATATACTGTTAAACTGTTCAAGTAAGACATTCACCTGAAACATGTAGTTTTAAAACTAATGAGAATAACTCACATTTGAGTGAGTCAGGTTAATATCCTAATCAAACAACATATTGATGAATTGATGGCGGCGGAAGGCCCACCTATGAGTTCCGCAACAATTCACTCATTTGTACTTGAATAACTGGTCACAATATATTACTAGTTTGATAAAGTACCTAACATTACTAATTCCTGTTGAAAGGAGAATTGACAAAAAGTGGATAATCTTACAAATTCTGACGTTATATAATAAGTTTTATTATTTAAGTACAAATAAGTGGATTGTTACGGAACTTATGGGTGGACCTCTGCGGGACGAGCGCAGCGAGTTCCGCAGCCATCTACTCACTGATATATACTGCTGAACTGTTCAAGTAAGACATTCACCTGAACCATGTAGTTTTTAAACTGATGAGAATAACTCACATTTGAGTGAGTCAGGTTAGTATCGTAATTAAATAACATATTGATGAATAGATGGCTGCGGAACTCGCTGTGCTCGTCCCGCAGAGGTCCACCCATAAGTTCCACAATAATCTACTCGTTTGTACTTGAATAACTTGTCACAATATATTACTGTTTGGTAAAGTAACATTACTTATTCCTGTTGAAAGGCGAATTGACAAAAAGTGGATAGATAATCTTACAAATTCTGACTCTATATAATAAGTTATTGTTCAAGTACAAATAAGTGGATTGTTGCGGAACTTATGGGTGGTAACCTCATTATAACACTCTATGTGGTTAGGTTCATTCCCTTTAAATTCAGCATATCAGAAATTGGTTGAACGATACCCCAATGGTCTTAATACAGCCATCAAATATAATTGAATAGCTTAATCAATATTTCGATGAGAAACTCTTTTAATTGACACCAATCAGCGCATAATTTCTTCTATTGTACGCTATTTTTGCCCATTAACGGAAATTGGAAAGCCACGCGGCATCACAATCGGCCATATAATGGCAAAAATCCATAATAAGGAATTTACGAATCGCTTAACCTCGCACGGTTTCAGGGGTCACTAAATATTCGTGAGTTCGATATAAAGATTACCCATTACGGAACTTGTTGTAGGCTGTCTTTTTCCATTTCGCTTCCTAGTCGAGGTACCTGCCAAAGTACCAGCCAGCATTCTCGTGCAAGTCAAGTTCTGCGTCTTTGACTAATTGGCTTGAGAATTGCCACAAATCATTTTATAGCGTTTAATTATATGGGAGTGAGTAACGTTTATGATTGAGAGATAGGCACAGTAACTGTAAGTAGCGGTTATCGATATTTTTTGCCCCGCATTAATGCATTGATTAGGCTTTTACCTAAAAATAAATGTCCTAAACTCAACACCCGTTAACTACCAAGTAATTTATTTATGTTTAGGTTCGTGAAACATTATTTAAATCACTTTTAATTGTATAGTTAATTAAAATTCGGTCCGCCCAATTAAGCCAGATCAGATAAAATAACTCGGGGAACCAGTGATTTCTACCAGCCGGACATTCCTGATAAATGT